AAAAAAAAAAAAAAAAGAAGAAAGAAAAAAAACACCTATTACAATAGAAGACACATTACCATTAATCCCCTTGAAGATACCAAACCCTTTTTGGCTTTTGAGACAGTCTCATAACTTAGGCTGGCCTCAAACTCATAGTGATCCTCCTGCCTCAGCTTCCAGAGCACTGGGATTTACAGGTGGGCACCCAGCTTCTATATATCTTAAATTTTCATAAATACTATATCAAATCATCTCAAAAAATCAGATAATTCTGACTTGTCATAGTCTAAGTGCCTGTTTTTCTTACCCTCCCCCAACCACTACATGTTTATTTGAAATTTTGCCAATAAGATGTAACAATATTACATTTGCCTTCCGGTGGTTTCCTTTTTTGGGGAGGGTACCAGGGATTAAACTCCAGCCCTTGCACTTGTGAGGCAGGCGGCAGAACCACTGAGCAAAATCCCCAGCCCTGGTCAGTAAGTTTTTTAAATTGTGTTTTGTTTATGGTGCTGGGACTAGAACCCAGCTCTGGACCACTGACATCCTGAAGCCTTGGTTTGTAAACTGAGAATACTAACTATGCTTGTCCATCTGAATTTCCTTTCCTACCAGGAAGAACTCCTTCAGCTGTCCTTTGTAGTTATGGTAGGCATCTGCGGCTCGCCAAGGCTACCGCTGCCCTGAACAGACTCCACGGAGCCAGACATAAGCTGTCTCTGAGAATAGCCATGATTGCTCTGGACTGCTTAGGTGTCACGGATAACAACACAATGCACTGGTTCCTGGTCTGTTAGCTCTCATGTACCACTTCAAAGAGTCTTTTATATACACATTTCTTCATCTCACTGTGGTAAAGGTCCAGTCAAATTCCCAGTTTCTCTCCAATCTAGGCACACTTTACTGTAACGTCTCTTGTGTGAAAAACTGAGAGGATTTCTCTGACACACTATCCAATGAGCTTGTCTCAGTCCCTATTTTTTTCATAGCACCAATCATATTAGTAGAAATACTGTTAATTTCATTCCCCAAGATAGATTATAAATTAGGCTATAAACTGCCTTATTTACTGTTTTAACTCCAAGGCCTAGAGTGCAATACCAGGAGGTCTTTAACAAATACCGAAGAAAAAAAATGGTGAGTTTTCTGGGAAATAATCTACATGATGTTTAAGTAATTTTTAAATATAGTACTGGGGACTGAAGCCAGGGCCTTTGCACTGAGCTACATCACTCTGCCCATTTTTATTTATTATTTATTTATTTGAGACAGGGTCTCACTATGTATTCCAAGTTAACATTGAACTCACCATGTAGCTCAGGCTGGCATCCAACTCAGGGTGATCCTCTGGCCTAGCCTCTTTAGTACTCAGATTACATTTATGGGTCACCAGACTATTGTTTATTTTTGAGACAAAGTTTTGCTAAATCGTTAAAATGCCCAGGTTGGGCTCAAATTTGTTATCCTCCTGCCTCAGCCTCCCAGGTTCTAAAAAAGAAAAACAAAAAGATGGATTCAAAAATTTAAAAAGGTTGCTTTTATCTTCTGGGTCTTCT